CAGCTTAATGAGTAATGATGTGACCAGCATTACAAAATAAGGTGTACAAAATACTGCAGAGGCAAGAAGAACGATTTTGTTTTGCTAGAAATGACAATCAGCCATGGGATTGTGTGTAGCAGCACTGCTTTTTTTTTTCTAAATCATGGTGAGAGATATGAAATTAGACAGCAGTGCATTTGACAATAAAGAACATGAAGAGATGGCTTTTCTTCCTGAATAGGAAAAGATGGTGCCTGGACACCATGGAGAATCTTCACACAAACAGATTAAACAAAAAGAAATGTATATGCATTGTCACAGGATCCTTCAGGTGCTGCTTTACCGGCTGGACACCTCTGTGGCCAGTGGTACCTCTACTTGAGTTTTGCTTGTTCCTGCTGGGCTCGTTCAGCCCACTTGGCCCAGCAGGCCGTGCTCCCTTGCGCTACCGGCCCAGATCCTATGCCTGCCCAGAGGGAAACAGGTGCGGAGCGGCAAAGGGTGTGTGAGCGAGCAAGTACGGGGTCCGGCCACTGTACACAGCAAGCATGCCAGCTGCTGCAGCAGGGCGGGTAGCTCCTGGCACCGTCACCATGCGAGACTGTGGCTCGACCAGACATACCGCAAGCAGCTTCCACTGTGGAAACCAACGTCTGGATGAGTCGAATGCGGTGGCACCCCAAAACGCAGAGATTCCAGGAACCACAGAGCTCCAAAGAGGGTATTACAATGTGTCACAGCCCTGGCTCAAGGAGCCCCGAGGTCTGGGCTTCCAGAATGGCCACAGCTCTTCTCTCCCTCTTGTCACCTGCAGTGTGGGCAGCAGGGATAGGGGGCATGTTTTGAGGGAGTGTGTTTCAGCCCGTTTGTGTTACAGGTCTTTCAGTCTCACCACCCCACTCTGGCCCGGCCCTGCGGCTGCTTCCCGTCATGTGGGGCAGCCGCCCAGCCCTAGCAGAAGGTGGGAGGACTACAGTGTTAAAGCTCTGGCTTGGGGAATCCCAAGATCTAGGCCCCTGGAAGGGTTGCCCCTCTTCGTTTCTGCAGTCTGGGAGCATATCACCGCCCACAGCTCGGCAAGCAGGCCAGGAACATGTCACAGCCCCTTTAGCTCCCGACTGCTGTTCAGCAAGGACCAGAAAAGTGTTACAGCTCCTTTTGCTCCCGCTGTTCAGCAGGTCCTGAGCTCTTGTCCTTCATCCGGAAAGAATCAGGTTATGCAGAAAACTGGAGGGTGAGCAAGGCAGAGAAGAGCTTTATTGGGGACAGAACAGCGCTCGGCGCAGAGGACACCCAAAGTGTGTGGCTACCATCTGCAGGCAGGTAGTAGCCATGAGTGTCTACGCTGGCCTGAGTCCAGCGGCTTTTATGGGCTCAGAATGCAGGAAGTGCATGCTGATCGGTCCATGGATGGGCTGAGAAAAAGCACCACTTAATTGGTCCAAAGGTATCAAGGAAAATCTCACTCCAGGTTAGAGACTTCACCTGGAACTGATAGCCCAGCCCCTAGGCTTCAGGCTGTCCCTGGCTTGAAGATGGAGTTTCACTGGGGACCTGCCCCTTCCCACCTAGGAACCTGTCTACCTCCCGCTGCCATCAGTAATTCTCTATTATTTATTCCAAATCTTCATCAATAAGTCATTATATCTTACAAGGGCCCATGAGTTTTAAAAATACATTTTTAAATACAATTATATAAGATTGTTTATAGAGACAGGGACTGTACAAAAAAATTTTGCCACCAGGACACTACATACCTTAGGGGTAACCCCAACTCAACCCTTCACTGTATTTTCTCAAAGGAAGCCAGAGAATTGATGACTTACATTTAAATTTTTCATTTTAATTCTCATGTTTTTTCTATACATTTAAAGTCATTTATATTGCATTTCACTAATCCTATCTTCTATCTCTTTTGCTCCTTTGTTTTCTTCTCCCCATGTCTCAATCGTTTTCACATCCAAAGCAAAGGTAGGGGTTTGTGGAGAGTGGTGAAGAGGGAGAGGAAAAGAGGAAGAGGAGGAAAGTCAAAGAACATCAAAATGGTTATTACTAGGGTAGGAGGAAAGGAACATGTACAAACTTTATTTCTTGTCTTCCCACCTTCTACTTTGTTCTTACATGCGAGGCAATGCTGGAAGTGTAGCTGACTTACACCTAGCGTTGTCCCTGCTTTGTTGTTACCCAGAATTGAGGCCCCTATATGTTATATGGTTCAAGAACATTAGCATCAAGGCTGTTAGGAGAAAAACAACTCCATGCATAAATACTACTTGTATGAGTTCATTTTCACACTGCTATAAAAAAAAACTACCTGAGACTGGGAAATTCATAACTAGGTTTAATTGACTCACAGTTCCGCATGGTTTGGGAGGCTTCAGGAAACTCACAATCATGGCGGAAGGCAAAGGGGAAGCAAGGCACGTATTACATGGTGGGGAGAGAGAGAGTGGTGAGGGGTGGGGGAAGTGCCACACTTTTAATCCATCAGATTTCACTAGAACTCACTATCATGAGAAGAGCAAGGGGATGTTCACTCCCATGATTCAATCACCTCCCACCAGGCCCCTCCCCTGACACATGGGGATTACAATTCAAGATGGGAATTGGGTGGGGACTCAGAGCCAAACCATACCACTACTCCTTTAGCCAAGGCACCTTGGGTCAGAGAAGTTAACTGCTACCTCTGAAGTCTACACAAAATTGACTGCAATATAAACATGATCTTGAAAATCATACGCTCTTACATCTGGAAGGAATCTCATAGATCGTTTTACCCAACTCCCTTGTTTTATAGATGGGGAAGCTCTTAGATCCAGAGAGATTGTTTCTTACCCAAATTTATATGACAAATTCATTGTAAAGACCTGTAACCTAGCCTTATAATCCCCAGTCCAGTGTTTTTAGAACTGTACCATGTTACCAGTCTTTTGGATTCATTCATTCACTCAGAGAGTTAATATTTTCTGAGTGCCTAGTCTGTTTAGGTACTGCCTTACATGCCAAAATACAATAGTAAACAAAATTTCTACCCTCATGGAACTTACATTCTACTAGAGGGAGAAAGAGTATGAACATAATAAATAGTGTAATTTTAAAGTAGCATGGGAAAAATAAAATGAGTTAAAGAGGATAGGTAGTGCTAGGAGGGTTGTGATTTTAAGTAGGGTGGTCTAGTTGGGGTAACCCCATTTAGAAAGTGACCTTTGAGGAAAGACTTGAAGGAAGTGAGGGGGTGACACATATGGGTATGGGAGGAACAGCATTCCAGACAAAGGGAACAGCAAGTGCAAAGACCTTAGGAGGAAATCCTGCCTTGCATGCTTGAGGAACAGCAAAGAGGCTAGTATGGCTGGAGTAATGGAATAGAAGAAGAGAGACCTGAGTGAGCACACTCAGCCGCCTCGCCATGTGATGGCCTGTGCTACCTCAGTACTCTGCAGAGTCCCCACATGCAAGAAGGTCCCACCAAATGTCCCCCTTGACCTTGGAATTCCAATACTCCAGAACTGTAAGAAATAAAATTACCCAGTTTCGGGTATTCTGTTATAAGCTTAGTCCAGAAAATGGACTAAGACACAAAAAGAAGAGCTGTGAGGATGAGGATCAGGAAGCCAGATTCTAGGACCTATATTATAAATACATGGTTTTAATCTGAGATGAGGATGGGGCAGTTATGAGCAAAGGAGTGATATGGACTGGTTTACATTGTAACAGAACCACTCTGGCTTCTGTGTTGACTCAGAGTAGATTGTAGGCCAGGGAACTGAGTTAGGCTGGAAAGTATTACTAAGATTCACTACCCTTGAAGAGATATCTACTCAGGTGAGCACACAAAACTAAAATTTTATATGGCTCTTTGTGCTTGTGACTGGTAAAGTCTTTGAGATACCTGAGTAAATGAAACATTAGCCACATGAACTGTTTAATAATTAAAATTAAGCATGAAATAGGGAATTCTCAACACTGAGCTTCTGATAGTGTGATTGCTAGAAAACTCACAGGCACAGAAAAGTAAAAATAAACATCAAAGTAATTTTTAAAGGCTTATAGTATTAGTAAAGAGCAACTACTAATTTGTATTACCTGCAGAAGAAACTAAGAAGAATACAAATAAGATGAATCTCTTAGGGACATACTTCATTAGCAATAAAGATGAACAGAGAATAGCAATGCTTTATAAGATGATATATGAATTTAATTATCAGGAAATAATGTTGATATGGAGTTTACAAACATGCTTATAATTATTTCATGTCATCTGAATTATCTTATAAGCTTACGTATCTTGCAAATGACTAAGGCTGAGTTTATTACTTCTGGTTCCAGATCCTATGATGACTATCATAGTCAGTTCTCACGCTGCAATGAAGAAATAACTGAGACTGGGTAATTTATAAAGGAAAGACTTTTAATTGACTCATAGTTCTGCATGGATGAGAAGGCCTCAGGAAACTTATAATCATGGCAGAAGAGGAAGCAAACACACCTTTTTTTTTTTTCACATGGCTGCAGGAAGAAGACCGAGTGCCCAGGGAAGAAGGAAGCCCCTTATAAAACCATCAGATCTCGTAAGAACTCACTATCACAAGGACAGGATGGGAAGAATCGGCCCCGTGATTCAATTATCTCCACCTAGTCCCTCCTGTGACACGTGGGGATTATGGGAACTACAATTCAAGATGACATTCAGGTGGGGACATGGCCAAACCATATCAATGGCCCACACCGTTTGCCTACCTGCAGAGCTTAAAACACACTTGGTCTATAACATCTTTAACTACCAATTAAAAACGAAACACTAAAAGAAAGTCAATTTGCCTCATGAGAATTTTCCACAATTTCAGTTAAGGGACTTGCTGTGTTCTGTGAAGCATGTGTTATGGTAAAAATGAAATTAGAGATCCACTAAAAAATGCTTAATAATGCATATGTAGGTATGACAAAGATTTGCAGATGTGTTTCCTTGATTACGAGAGCCATCTCCAGTATCAAAGTAACACTCTTGAGCATTCTGAAGCATGTAGGGTTTATTTACAGTGATACATAAGGTTTGAAAAGGATGCTTTACCAAAAGTTTTGTTAATGAAATAGGAATGCAAATAAAGAGGTACTACATTTACTAGATTGCAATTGGCAACCAAAAGTAACCTTTTTCTAACGTAAACCTTGTTATGTTTGTTGCTTTGCTGCATCTCATTTCTTTTGGTAGGTTGTTTTTATTATTCTGTTAGGAGAAAAAACTTAATTTTGCTTGATTTTCTTTGATCTAGGAGTCATTTAAAGATGTAATGCCATCTTCCTTGCCAAATTTGATTCTGTCTTCCTCACTTATTTCGGTCAACAGAACTTCATCTTTCCAGTTCTTGTAGCCAAAAATCAGCCTTGACACCCCCCTTAGAACTTATGCACTAGTGTTTCCTCTGGCAGCTCTTTCCTTATAACAAATCATTATAATTCCTCTGAACTGAAGCGATCCAAAAAAAAAAAAAAAAAATGAGCAACTTATAATTGCAAAGTTACTTTATGTATTTTATTTGATTCTCATCATAGTTAGGAGACTCCACTCTTTTCCTTAAAGTTTAAAAGAATGCCTGAAATCAACCCTTAATACCGTAAACACATAATGAGTACCAAAGCGTTCCTTTGTCATAGGTAAGCAGCACTCCTCAATAAAAGATCAAGGTGCCTTCTGGTCCATGGGACATCACCATTTCAACAAGAGAAAACTTCAGAGGCTTCATTAGGAAGCTTTCGTTTAAAAAGTGTTCCTCCCACTATACAAGTGAAACCAGCTTTAATACAGAGAAATCAAAACAAAGAAAAATAAAGTGGGGAACAGCTTTTGAGTATTTTCTTAAAATTTTCCATTTTTTCGACTTTGCACAATATTATAATAAAGGAACATGGGATCCTTTATTATTGTTACCACAGTTGTTTAATATTCTTTTCATAAAGTTAACCATGTTTATTTAGCCATTTTCTTAGCTTTTGCCATCATGGCACTTTGAAAATTTTCTTTGTAATTGCTGCAATGACCTTGGCGATCACAGATGCATGCTACCTGCTCAAGTTTATTCTTGGAAGTGGTATTACCAAATTAAAGGTTCTCAATATTTCCTGGGGTACTGCAATTTTTAATTGCATATTAAAACTGTTATTACTGAGATCGACATTCCTCTCACCAATTCACAAATACACAGTCACAGACATCTTGAGATCTATAAAACGTCAAGCCGCGTTCATTTCACAAATTCACAAGTTAAACCTAAAGATCTGAACCGAGAAGCCGGACCTAGGGTCTATTTCTCCCCCCCGGATCCACCCCGACTTATTAAGCAGTTAGGCCGACCCTTCCGTGCTCATTCAAGGTAGTGCAGAGCTTTTGTTCCCCCGCCCAGTGGAATCTACCCTGGTCCCAGCCCCTCGTCCAACTCCCGTGGGACGCCACGCAATACGGAGTTCAAGAAGCGCAGAAATCTCCTGACCCCCACTAGTCCACACTAGGTAGCAAGACCGCAGCACCTACGCCACAGGGTCAAATCGGAAACCAGAAAAGGCACCCGATGCCCGTCGCCCAGTCTCGGCCACCAGCGACTCTTTCTTTCCCTGGCGCACGATGCCGGCCTTTCAGCCCAGACTCATCGAGCGAGGATGCCGCGCTGAGAAGCTTCTAAGGCTCAGGGCCTGCAAAGCCCAGCAGCCGGCTGTAGGTGTCCTTAGCAAATGCCAGACCGCGCGCACCGTCCCAGCAAGTCCCGAGCGAGTGTGGGACAGGCAGCAAATCAGTGCCCCCCTGGCCAGGCAGAACTAGTCGAACTTGGAAGTAGAGAGCAGGCGGAGGCCGGCGCTTAACTGTAGCTAAGCAGGCCGGGTCTGGCTTTGGGCCCTGGGCCTTCCAGCCGGGGACTCTGCGCCTGCGCCCGCCTGGCCGCCGCCCGCTCTCCCGGCGCTGCAGCTGTCTGGGCTGCTGCGCGCCGCCTAGGTGTCTGGGCAATCCATGGGCAAGAGCAAGGGCCACGATGACAGATTACGGCGAGGAGCAGCGCAACGAGCTGGAGGCTCTGGAGTCCATCTACCCTGACTCCTTCACAGGTGACTTCCGCGGCCGCAAGCCTGCAGCCGCCCCAAGGTGGAGTGGGACGGGCAGGAGCCGCCGCAGCTCTGGGCCTCCTAGGCTGCGGTGGAGAAGGGGACCGTGAGGCCGCGCGGCCACCTTGCCCTCCACTCTTCTCAAGTTCTTCAGTCACTTACCAGCAACCCAGTGACTTTTTCCCCCTTCTCTGCTTGTCCCTGAAATCTAAAAGTCCGGGTGATGCTGGAAGGTGTCAGGCCTGAAAATTGAGTCGGGGTTACTTTGGTTTCTGTGTAACCTACAGCAACCTGAGATTTATAATACATTAAGAGAAAAGATACTCCAAGTGAGATTCGTTTTTCCACAGCTGCAAGGATGTTAGTTTTCACATTTTCACCTTTATTAAGGTAGAAACTGTTTTTCATACGATGCTGTTTTAGTTTATGGGATTCAGAGTACTGTTCTCAGTTACTCAGATAGGTTTTGAGAGTAGTATAGTCCCTGAAGTCTGTCGGGTTTCTTTTCTTACGAAAAAAAAAAAAAGATCTAGCATTCAGCAGAATGCCTAATGGATAATGTGGCCCAAATTTTCGTTCCGCTATAAATTCATAGGTTGTTAGATTGGAAGGGAGGTTAGACATCATCTAGCCTGGGGATCCTGCTACAAGTCAAGGTCTTGGGGGCTCAGGAAAGCTAAGTGGCTTGCTCTGGACTGTCTGCCAGCGAGTTAGCGGCAGGGCTGGTACTAAGAGTTACGTCCGGAACGCCTGCCTGTTCTTTCACCTTCCAGACATATGGGACTTGGGATTCAGCTCCAGCTGAGATTGGGGAGAGCAGAAGATTACTTGATAGGTTGGGCTAATGTAAAATATTGTAATGAGAAGTTCATTAGGTATAACTTAGAGGATGAGATTTCTCTATTAAGCCATGCTTCGGATGATTATAAAAATGCTACATAACTATATCAATATGGCTCCTCTGAGATTTGAGAAGCGGCCAAATAAAGCCAATATGAGTGAGTAGAAACTAGGTGTGTGCATTTACATTCGCCATCCTTTCCTTTGAGTGTTGCCTATGGTTGATAGTCAGAATTTATTGTGGAAGGTATATTACTTTAACTCATAAACTCCAACCCCTCCCCCTTTCATCGTTTAGCTTAGTTTTCTTGGTTCCACCTTTTGATCACTGCTTGCAATGGTAGCAAATTTTGTTCTGCTTTGCCAACAGGCAGATGTCTCTCAGCTATCCCTGTATAGCTCCAGTCCTGTTCATGTTCTCTCTCACCAGCAATACATCTGTGCTGTGAGGATGTTAAGGGGATGAGTGAAGAGGGGTTTGAGAGTGTCATTAACTGGGTGAGTGTGTATGGAGTCTGGCTCCCTTCTCTATCCTTGCTTATATGTCTGTGTCTAAAATAGAATATAGGGTCAGTTGTTGGATATATTCTTAATCATGTTTGGTCATTTCCAGAACTTTGGAAACATAATAGATATGAACACTGTAGGCGGAGTCAAGAAAGCAGGATATGCTATTCTTTTCATTTCTTTGGACATAAGCTATCCCTCACTAAATCCTATGCATATAAGCATTTATAAAACGGATACCTTTTTTTTGGTTTTTAACCCTGAAATAATCTTGTGGGTATTTCAAATTGTACTAGGCCCTGACAGCTCTGGTATAGTTCACTATGTGAAATTCTTATCAGATGCCCAAGTGCTTGAGGATTCTGAGCCAGGGTAATAAAAGACAATTTATGAATCTTTTGATGCATTCAGGTATTCTGCACTATCAGATAAGCCATCTGTCTGTAACTCCTGTCAACAGTTCTACAAGCTTTGCAATAAATAAATTAAAATGAGATGTCTTTATTTATAGTTCTTAGGGAACGTTGCCTTCCTAGTGATCAAGTTCTTTATGAAACCTCTTGGGGAAAAGGCAGAGGATTTTGAAATAAAATGTTTCCATGTCTGATCTTTTAAAATCTTGGAGATTTGCAAGATTTGCTGTTTTAAAGCCTTCTTTTGTATTTATGATTCCATACTTTTGTATTCTCATGCCAGGTTTAAGAAAGAGATCTTGCTTGTGTCAGTTGGCCAAGGAACACTAAATGAGGTTTTGTAACTTCATTTTGAATCACATTTAATTATTAAATTTGGTTAATACTCAATGCTATTGATGAAGGAAATATACTTTTTTTTTTTTAAATGGATGACTGAGTGCCTGACAAAGAAGCATTTGTTAAGTACACGTAACCCCATGTGAATGCTGAAGAGGCACAGTCCAGCCCATAGACGTAGGCACATAGATTTAGCGTAACCTCAGAATTAATTGCTTTGACTATTTGCAAAGTACTTTTGGTCCAGTGTTGCATTTGTTGTGGTTATAACAAATCATAATACAATTTCTTCTTTTTGCCTATTCTGTAGCTTGATTGCACATTGATCCAACCCTCCTAACAACTAGTCTTCCAAAATATAAATGGACTCTCCTGATACCACATTCTCCTTCAGTAGTTCTTCACTTGACAAGGTCCTGCTAAGGTAGTAGAATTTGGTTATTTCAATTTATGTATTGAAATCTCTGGCTGTGGGGAGTTTTATTGAAACAAATTTGTTGGCATCAGGTTAACCAAAAGCCAAGTTTCCTTAATTCTGTTTGCCTTACAAAGAGGAGTACATAATCCTGTATTTCTTTATCAGTACCTCTAAGCAGCAGCCATTCACATTTGACAGTTATAATTGTATCTTGAGATAGGTAAGAAGTCATCTTGTAAAAGCAGTTTGTTCTAAGTCATACTTTTTGAAAGGTCAGACACTCCCTAACAACCAGAGGTGCTTATTTTAATATGGGCTCTCTCATATTTTGTGGAAACTAAAGGTGATTTGTGTATCTCTTAATGTACCTTTTAGCTTCTACCTCTTTATCCCTGTTTTTGACAAATCTTTAATTCTATCAGTTTCACCACCATCTGTCCCCTAACGTCTCTCTGCCCTTCCTCTATGGCCAACAGCTAACTTTCTTCCTTCCTTCCTTTCCTTCCTTCCCTTCCTTCCCTTCCTTCCCTCCTTCCCTCCTTCCTTCTCTCCTCTCTTTCTTTCTTTCCCTTTCTTTCTTTTCTTTTTTCTTTCTTTCTTTCTTTTTCTTTCTTTCTTTCTTTCTTTCCTTTTCTTTTCTTTTTTCTTTCTTTCCTTTCTTTTTTCTTTCTCTTTCTTTTCTTTTTCTTTTTTTCCTTTCTTTCTCTTTCTCCTTCCTTCCTTTCTTCCCCTTTCCTTTCCTTACCCTTTCCTTTCCTTCCCCTCTCCCCTTTCTTCCCTCCTCTCCCCTCCCCTCTCCCCTCTCTCCTCTCCCTCTCCTTTTTGAGACAAGGTCTCACTCTGTCACCCAGGCTGAAGCACAGTGCCCCAGTCAGCTCACTGGAGCCATGGACCTCTGGACTCAAGTGATCTTCCCCCCTCAGCCTCCAGAGTAGCTGGGATTACAGGCTCGCAGTACCATGCCTGGCTAATTTTTGCATTTTTTGTATCAGCAGAGGTCTTGCTCTGTTGCCCAGGCTAGTCTTGAACTCTTGGCCTCAAGGAAGTCTCCCACCTCCGACTCCCAAAGGGCTGGGATTATAGGCGTGAGCCACTGCATCTGGCCCAGCTTACTCTTTTTCTCAATTTTTTTCTTTTTTTTTAGAGAGTCTCCCTTTGTCACCCAGGCTAGAGTGCAGTGGTACCATCTTGGGTCACTGCAACTGCCACCTCCCAGGTTCAAGCAATTCTCCTGCCTCACCCTCCCAAGTAGTCGGGATTACAGATATGTGCCACCATGCCTGGCTAATTTTTGTATTTTTAGGAGAGATTGGGGTCTCGCTATGTTCCCAGGCTGGTCTTGAACTCCTGGCCTCAAGTGATCCACCCACTTCAGCCTCCCAAAGTGCTAGGATTGCGTCATCATGTGCTAGCATGAGTCACCATGCCCGGCCCTCAAAAGTATTTTTAATTACTTACAGTGGTGGAAGTCTGGCATCCTTATTGAAGACTAATCTTTCTTCTATTTACCCTAACTCACAGTAATGCATGGTAATGGGATTAGTCTTTTATCAGAACTTAGGAATTATCTATTTCTGTGAATTCAATTAATTAACTTTCCCATCCCTATTTTAGTTACTGCCCAACTTTGAAATATCCCTTTTTCTGTTTTTAAAAAATACTTATTTTAATAAGATTAGATTCAGCTGTGACAGAAAACCCCCAATAACATTGGTTTTTAAAAAGGTAAAAACTTATTTTGCTCTTGCTTATGTGCTCTTGCACATGCAAGAGAGTTGTGGCAGCTCTATTTCAAGAACTCCTCAGGGACCCATCTTCTAATGTAGCTCTCTGTCATCCCTAAGATGTAGTCTTACACTCATGGCCAAGATGGTAACATTCCCTTTCCTGGAAGTAGGATGAATAAAGGAAGGAAGAAGAACAGAGAGAAGTGAGAGAAGGCAAGTTTCTTAAGGAAATTTCCTGGAAACTGTCAGAGGGCATATCTACTTCCATCTTTTTAGTGGGAACTTAGTCATTTGGTGAGGGCTAGCTGGAAATGAAACTGGGAAATGTAGTCTTTATTCTGGGTAGTCAGTATGCTGAGTTAAAAGTGGCATAACTTAAATAAGGGGAGAGTGGATATTGGGGGACTTTTAGCAGTACTTCCCAAAATCTTTTTTCTTTGCTGTACTTGCTTCACGTTTTTTCTCTATAGTGGCAACTTTATGTAGTGTCCTTGGACAAATCACTTAGCCTCTCCAAGCCTTAGTCTCTGTATCTGTTTAATGAGAAATAATGTGAGTGAAAATACCTTATACCTTATAATTGTAAAACAAACATATGATACTCTTTACTAGAAATACCATCTTAGTTGATTTTTCCACTAATATGGCTTCATAATTTCTTGTCTCTTTCCACTAATGATTTTGATTTCCACTTTTTTTTAGCTGCACATGGGCATTGCCACACCTTGAAAATGCCATCTCTAACATTTTGGCCCCTGAAAATTACTCCTTCCCATAACCTTTGTACACTTTAGTTCTTTTGTTCCCATGCTTTTATTGAACATGCATCTCATGATTTCTCATGGATTGATAGTTCATCAGTTTCTTTCTGGTCCATCTTGCCTCCCTGTTCTATCTGGCTCCCCAGGTCTGGCAGTTCACTGATATTCTTGCTAACATTCCCATATTTTTTGGTTTCCTCATTTACCAGATATTTACTATATGCATTTTTTTAGGATCTCAGCTTGGGGAAACAGACATCAGATACATCTAGGGAGAGGGGATGAGTTGTTTTGGAAAATTTAGGTGTAATGACAAGTTAACAAGTAAATGAGACTAGGGAAAGGGTATTCCAGCCTGGGACGCACATATGCAGAAGCAGGACTCTGAGGGATCAGAATATGTTCAAAGGACAAGTTATTTGGGTATTGTTAGAACATGAAGTGAGAAGTGAGAGTTAGGGAAAATGAGACTTGACCAATAAGCAGGGGCCACATCACAGAGGGCTTTGTCAGGGACTTAGATGTGATCTGACAGGGCAATAGTTCATTGCCCGTTTTATTCCCACACAGACCATATAGTGCATATTGTAGACTCTGCCACATCAGACTCAGATTCTAATAGGTGGGGTGACTTCACAAATGAAATAGACTGAGTTATGCGTATTTTTTAGCGTGCTGGCTGTGATTCTACCCCTTTTTCACAATTCATTCCAACACACTGTATATGGATAGGGAACTGCTGCTGTAAGCAGGTAACAATGTGATGAAATCTGCTTGCTAGGAAACTGACAAGAGACAGTGGGCAGGATGGGGTAGAATGAGGAGAATCATTCTTCACCTGCTCTTGAAACTCACTTCCGTTGATTTTCATAACACTGTTACCTCTTGAGTTTGTTACTACTTCCTCTTACTTTGTTCTCCAAATTGAGGATTCCTTACAAAGCTTATGTTGGCTTTTTTTTCTTTGTGTTACATTTCTGATGATCTCATTTAGTCTAATGGCTTTAGCTATCACCTCTGTGTAGATGATCCCAAATTGAATTAAAGCCCAGCTCTCTTTACCACCATTCGCCCATTTCTGATTGCATGTTCAACACTTCTAACTGAAAGTCCTGAAGTGTCATTAAAATATATCATGTCTGATTTTTTTTGTTATTACTCATATTTGTTAGTTGCATCACATGCTCAGCCTGCAGCCTGCCAACTTAAAATATCATCACCACCGTTTTCCGCTATTCCCATTGCTGCCGTCCTAGTTCAGGACCTCATTACCTTTGCCTGGATTATCGCAATAGTGACCTAGTTTCATACTGCCTGTAGTCGTTTCCCTCCTTTCATTTTATGCGCTGTTGTTAGATTTGTCTTCCTATGTTTTGAGAACAATTCTGATCAGATTATTGCTAAAAAAAAGATTGTGTACAACTAAACTTTCAACTGTATTTTCACCTAGTTTTCTTCGCTCACATAAAAGTTCAGCAAACGGAATAATTTCTTATTCCGTATATATATCTTTAGCTTTCCCACCATTAGGCCCTTGCTTCCATGGTGCCCTCAAGTGCATTTCCCTTCTCCATCTCTGCTTGCCAGTATGCCACTCATGATTCACAGCCTAGCTCAAATGACTTCCTTGGAATTTCTCAGCTGGAAATATGTTTTCTTTTTAAATGATGCTCTATATAGTTCATTCTGTTTGTTCAGTTACTACCTGATAACCTTGGACAAATTATTTAAAAGCGCTGTATCTCAGTTTCCACATCTGTAAAATTGGGGTGATAGTATATTTAATTATTTTTTATTATTTTTTTTTTGAGACAGAGTCTTGCTCTGTCGCCCAGGCTGGGGTGCAGTGGCCAGATCTCAGCTCACTGCAAGCTCCGCTTCCCGGGTTTATGCCATTCTCCTGTCTCAGCCTCCCCTAGTAGCTGGGACTACAGGCGCCCGCCACCTCACCCGGCTAGTTTTTTGTATTTTTTTAGTAGAGCTGGGGTTTCACTGTGTTAGCCAGGATGGTCTCGATCTCCTGACCTCGTGATCCGCCCGTCTCGGCCTCCCAAAGTGCTGGGATTACAAGCTTGAGCCACGGCACCTGGCCACATTTAATTATTTTTAAGACATATTTTACATTTAACATCTCTGAAATATGGACTCGTCTTATAATCAGTTACATGTCGGTTTAGTTGGCAGCTTATTTTAATTTCTTAGTGGTACGTAAAGTGTATCTCATACTTGATGGCATTGAAAATTTAGTGAATTATAGTAATAGTATAAATCATGGTCTTGTGCTAGAAGTACAGGATTTTCGTATAAATGCATAGCATAGCACAAGCACAAAGTGATGCTCAATAAATGTTACCTGTTGTAATTGAGTATTGGTTACCCCTGACCTATAGCTTCAGGGAGTTCTAGAAAGTGGTAATAAGTTGGAATGTCATTGGGCTGATCCCTTATTTCTATAGTTGCAGTGTTTACATTTCATGACTTGCTAAAGTTGGTCATGAAAGGAAATAAGAATGAAATACATCAACTATATTTTACATGTATTTGTTAAAATATAGACGAGGCCAACTATATTATGGCTCTATTATAATAACCTTTCGGTGGGCTGAAACTTTTTTCAGCATGGGCTGGACTCCCCAAGACCTATTAAAATATGAATCTCCTGAGTCTTTTATCTAACAATTTTCTAGTAATCACAGGTGTTCATCATTTCTTAAAGTACCTTAAATTCAATTAAAATGAAGACATCTATCTTGAAAATAATTGGTTTGGGGTTTTTTATTTATCTTTTTTTTTTTTTTTTTTTTTTGAGGCAGAATCTTGCTCTGTCGCCCAGGCTGCAGTGCAGTGGCACAATCTTGGCTCAGTGCAGCCTCTGCCTCCCAGGTTCAAGAAATTCTTGTGCCTCAGCCTCTGGAGTAGCTGGGATTACAGGCATGCGCCACCATGCCTGGCTATTTTTTGTTTTTAATATCGATGAGGTTTCACCATGTTGGCCAGGCTGGTCTCGAACTCCTGGCTTCAAGTGATCCGCCCACCTCGGCCTCCCAAAGTGCTGGGATTATAGGCATGAGCCACTGTGCCCAGCCAGAAAATACTGTTGATAGTATATATTTATAATGGCTTTAGAAAGTTCCTAGGTAGGAAAAGTTGAATAGTTTCCATGATTGCTTCTTCAGTGATCTATTGCTCTTTCATTTCTGAAAAAGCCTGCAGAGCTGCTGCCAGCCTTAACAGGTACCAGTGCTTCCTGGACAGCAAATGAGGCATAGGCTTTTCTCATAGGCTTAGCAGCCATTCCTGGTGGCTTGAAGTTTCCTTGTTTACTTTTCAGATGGTTCTGAGTACAAGTTTTCTTCGTTGCTGTTTTTCCTCCTTTCATTCTATTCATTTAGTTCTTTTATTGGGGCAATATTAATTGAGTTTCTAGATACTGCCAGATACTGATCTAGAAGCTCTCATAGAGTTGTTACAGCGTTCTTGTTGAGGAATAGATAATAAACAGAGATTAGTATTAGATAGACAATAGGCTATAAAATGACATACAAAACTTTGTTATTTATATAAATGTTGCTTTACATGTTTCGTCTTGCTGAGTAAATTACGTGCAATCTGATGTTTACATTCATAGTTAATTGATTTATAATTCTGTGAAAGATGGTAGAGGCTTAGTAAGCATGTGTGAAAGAAAGTTTGGTTTTAGAGATGATGTGGTAGAGAATGACAGCAAGAAGACACTAATTTTAACAAATCAGTATTTACTGTTTGTTAGGGAGATTCTGAGTTATATCTCACAATACCTAAGTATAAAAATCAGTGAAACATGAATATCAATGGGTAGTTTCAGGTGGGAAACATGAAACTTTGCCATTATGTTTGGGATTTTTTTAAGAATGTAATTTTCCATGTATAGGTGGAGATTTTAAAATAAAAGGTAAACTACTTAATTATTTTAGTTGACTTGGTAAAACATATATATTTTATATATAAAAATATATAAAAAATATATATTATATATAAATATATTAAAAATATTATATATTATTATATATAATATAGTTATATTATATTAAAATAATATAACTATAAAATAGTTATTTCTTTCCAGATTAAAGACAACCCTGCATTTAAATAGAAAGTTGACGGTAATTTTATCATTTCAGTGTTCTGTTTAGTCTGTATTTGTGGAAATGGAAATATAGCCTAGGGACCAGTTTCCAGGACTGATAATTTGCTAATAAGGAAAAGCATCTGCCTTAGAAGGCATTTCAATAACTTCTGTGTGTATTTTCTTGCAGTATTATCAGAAAATCCACCCAGCTTCACCATTACTGTGACATCTGAGGCTGGAGAAAATGATGAAAGTAAGTCTCATAAAAAATACTTGTGGTTTTTCTAAGCTTCTCAGGAATTTCACTCATTCTGTAGGCATTATGCTGGATATTGCCAGTGTGGAGGTGCTAAGGGGCTGTTACGAATCTACTATGAATGTTGTATATTTCTAGTCAGAATTTACTGTGTGAACATGATTTCTAGGGAAATAGAGAGGAAATTAATGAAATATAGTCTGGCACAATAAGCTTAGTTTTTAAAAGTGAAATAGTAATATTAATAATATAGCAGATGGAGAAAAGGTAGGAGACTTTTGTTTTGTTCAAAGCAATACTTTGCGTGCAAACATATTTCAGTGGTTGTGTGGTTCCTTTATTTTTTCATGGCTGTTCTTCTCTGAACATTTAGATTGTTCACTGGACATTTGCTGTTATAAATGGGGCTAGATATACACCTATCTGCAAGTTTCTGTCTCTTTCTTTTGAAATAATATAACTATAAAAACCAATAAATTAATATTAAATAAATTAAATTTGGAGTTGTTTGGGGGAATGGTATCTGAAGTTTATTTCTATTTTTAGTCACATTAGTTGATAATTTGATAAAAAGGTTATGTAAATTGAAACTAACAACCCTACACATTTTTCCCCCCTTTGAAGCTAGAAACCTAAATTCTGCCAGGAGCAGTCGTTAATAGCCAACTTTTATGGTATTGCTTGATAACTCCAAATCTGTTTAGTGTACTTGAAAATGAGGTTTGCATTCACACGTTATTGAAATCTGAATTAAAAGGATATTGAATACATTTATTTACTACCAAATTGATAACCAATATGCTTTTGCAGATTGGTATCTAAAAAATTTTCTATAATGCTGTAAAGCATGAAGTAAATACTATACTGACTGCTCTTCAAACCATTTAAAATTTTCCTTTGTAAATAAGCCAGTGGCATGATTTGGGCTTCATATGATGCCACTGTAGGTTCCAGAATGGTGCGGTGATGCTCACGGGTAAATAATCCAAATAAAATTTTCTTTTAAGATTATGCTGAAATGGAAAACTAAAATATAAAAATGTCTTGTGAGAGCTCCCATATTCTGAGTAATAGCTTTATTAGGAGCTAGTAATAGCTCTATAAAATAAGTATACTCAGTGCATTATCCTCCATACTTTCAAAATTATTTCTTTGAAACTAAATCCTGCATTGTACTTTTTTTTCCCGAAAACTCCTTTTTAGTGAACAAACTAGTAGGAAAGTGGGCAAAGGGCATTGATGTACAATTTCTAAAGGTAGCATTAAAAGAACAATCTCACAGGTAATTAAAAATGCAAGCTGAAATAATATATCCAGTAAATTATTAGTATTGGCAGATAGCATTATGCTCTTTGGAATACGAATCAATACACATGTTCAGGAGAACTATTGGACTCATGAAGCAGGAGACTTTGAAAATGTTCATATTCTTTGATACAATGACTACTGTATTTATGGATATCTATTCTAAGCACAGTATCATAATACAAAATAATACATACAAGGATGTTTGTAATATCATTGTTTCTTTCTTAACTAATAAACAGTGACATAAAGTGGAAATATGATGGTATTGCATAAAGACTTGGAAGTATTCTCATTTTTGAGATTTTATATTTATATATGAATATGTACATTTTAAGCAAAATTTCATCCATCTATAAATAAAATTTTGTCTAAAATGTAGATATATGCAGATAAAAAAATGTAGTTTTATGAAATATTTTTAAGATACTTAAAATATACCAAAATGGACATAGCGATTTCTTCCTGATAATGGGATTATTTGTGATTTTATTTTTCCCTTATTTTATTCCTAACTTTTCTCTACTGAATGTCTTTTACTTATACTAGAATCAGTAAATGTTACTTAAAAAAAAAAACTTAGTTTTTTAAATGGTTAAATGCATTTTAATATACCTGCATGGTGAAAATTAATTTTTAACTATGTACACTAAGTGTTAAAGAATATTCTCAGGATATAATGCACGTGAAACAAATCAAGTATAAAATTCTGTTGATAGAAAAGAGGAAGAAACTAATTTGCCACAATGATAAACTTTATTTTTTAAATTTACTTTTTAATTTTTTGGTGAGAACGTTTAATATCTAATCTCTTGGCAATTTTTAAGTATACAGTACATTATTGTTAGCTGTAATAATAATGCACTACAGTAGACCTGAAGTTACTCATCTTGTCTTAAACCTTTTATCCTATAACTAGTATCTCCCCATCCCTGATATCAGTTATAAAATATCTTCTTTCATGTATGATTTTATTTATTTTAGTCCTCTCCCTTTTTTCTAGTCTAGCTGTTTTGTTAGACTTTTTCTATTGTTTTTCTAATGTATTTCGTTTATTTCTGTTCTGATTTTTATTATTTTCTTCCTTGTGCTGATTTCATGCCATTTTTTCTTTTTCTAGTTCTTTGAGGGGCATGTTAAATTGTTTCTTCAGAACTTTATTTTTATTTGATGTAGGCATTTATTGCTATTAACTTTCCTCTTAGAACAGCTTTTGCTTCAGCCCATAAGTTTTGGTATGATGTGTTTCCATTTTCTTTTTTTTTTAATTTTTAAAATTTTAAATATTTTTTAGAGACAAGGGTCCCACTCCGTTGCCCAGGCTAGAGTGCCATGGTGCTCTGTTAGCTCCCTGCAGCCTCCAACTCCTGAGCTCAAGCAGTTCTTCCACCTTCAGCCTCCCAAATAGCAAGAACTACAGGCACATGCTACCATTCCCAGCTCAATTTTTTAATTTTTTGTAGGCACGAGGTCTCACTCTCTTGCCCAGGCTGGTCTTGAACTTCTGACTTGCAATCATCCTTCTACTTTGACTGTCCAAAGTACTGAGATTACAGGCATGAACCCCAGCGCCTGGCCATGTTCCATTTTCCTTTGTCTCAAGATATTTTTAAAATTCCCTTTAAATTTCTTCTTTAATGCATTGATTGTTTAAAGTCTGGGAGGTAATAGGAATGGTGAGATGTTGGCCAAAGGGTACAAAGGTTCAGTTATGCAAGATGAGTAAGTTTGGGGATCTAATGTACAACATATGACTGTAATTAATTATATATAATACTGTATTGTATACTTGAAGTTTACTAAAAGAGGTGATCTTAAGTGTTCTCACCACATACACACACACACAAATCATAATCATGTGAGGTGATGTTAATTAGCTTGGTTCTGATAATCATTTCACAATATATATGTATATCAAAACATCATATTGTACACCTTAAATATATGCAATTTTTATTTGTTGAGTATACCTCAAGAAAGCTGGGGAAGAAATAAAATGAAAAAAAAAAATCTTGTTGCAGCAATAAAACTAAAAATGTGCTAATAAAAGAAGAAAGGAAAATGCCAGAAGATACTGTTTCTTACTGACGTCTAACACATAATCTTTTGCAATTTTTGGTTCATAAAATTCCTTGTTAATATCATAACATGAAAAATAAAATATCAAACCTGCAAATTTTAAGGTGATTTTTTTCCCCGTCCATGAAGAGCAGTATAAATTTGTATTGCTTCATCAAAATCAGTAGGTTTTAATAATATAAAATGTGAGTTACACAAAAGATGGCACTCTGGGAAAAAGATCATTGTAATAAAAAGTCTTAACAGAAAATGTTTCGTACTACTCCTTAGTCGCAGACTGCCTGGTGGAATTGAGAACTCAGTGGCCTGCACTGCAGAGAGGCACCTTGCACTGACATGCCCATAGGAGTTTTACTTCCGTACAAGTGTGAGATCCGTAAATTGACACAGTCTTAAAGAGTGAGTGAGAATATCTAGATGACTTAGGTTAAAAGTTTCCCATACAACCTTTTATACTGTCGAGGTCAAAACGGTGCCATCCAGCCACTAATTAGCCCTGCTGACATTGTGTGGATTTAAATATAGATTCCAGGGCTACAGCCAGATCTTCTGCAGGTAGGAACTGGCTCTGGTAGAGGCTGAAAATCAGCATACGGTAGTAGTTTTTAAAAATGTGTTGTATTCAGTGCCTTTTGTTTATCTTAGGAAAGGTTTTTAATGAGTGGTGTTTATTCATCCTCTTTCTCAGACATGCAGTCTGGTAAAATACCAGTAAGTGGTAAATGTGCTTCATGTGTAAGTGTGATTTTTGGTAATCCCATGATTTGTTTCACTTATCTCTTTGTGGTATGTGTTGTTTACATTAGTGATTATCCATCTGGCCTCTTACCTTTTTCTTCTTAGGAAAATCTGTTGTGCTGCTTTTTACTGATTCAACAAAGATATCTACCTGTATATTTTTAAGGTATTCACATCAAACTCTTATCTTATGTCTTAGCTGTCCAGACTACCCTCAAGTTTACATACAGTGAAAAATACCCAGATGAAGCTCCCCTTTATGAAATATTCTCCCAGGAAAACCTAGAAGATAATGATGTCTCAGACATTTTAAAATTACTAGCATTACAGGTAAGGAAATAATAATTTTATGTTTTGTAGCAGCATTTGTTGGCCTTAAATATTACATATTAATTTCAAGAGTTAGAAAATGCTATTGTGTAAATAGTACATTGACCAAGCAGAATTCATGATACATAATCACAGAGCATCTTTATTTTTGTTTCCTACTGTCCCTTTAAAATTTGAGTAATAGAGTTTGTCCCAGTGCCCCTGCTTGAAACTTAGTCAGCCCCATGGCTTTTTCGCTCATATCATGAGTGATAAAAAGTCCAATGGGTACTTTAAGTTGTAAACAGTGTTTTGATTTGGTTTTTAGAATGCCTAGTCCCATATGTAGCTACAATTTTCAACTTTTTTAAAAAATTAAAACTTCTTCCCTCTCTGAGTTGTTACACGCTAGTTGCCTATAGTCTGAGAGAAGTACTAGCGATTGATTTTTTTCTCCCATCTCTCCTCCTCCCGAAGCTTACAAACAATAGTAATGGCTTATGACCCCTTTATGAGGGGAGGCTTGTGTGGAAATAAAAATGGATATTAAAAAACGTTTTACTGGATTAATTTTATTGTGGGATAGGCTACCCATAATCTGGGCTTGGCAGGTATTTAAAATATACTCATGCTTGGGTAGAGTTTTCATGGGGCTCTTCAGAGTAGAGAGTAGGGAGGGGGGTAAAATTCTTATACCACTATCTTAAAGTCAGAAGTTCTACCTTTATTTGTTTAAGAAGAATTGACAGAAAACATATCTCCACCTTAGACATGACTTACGTATTCTAAAGACCAGTGGTCACCAAAATGTTGATGTTATAAAAATATCTGGAGCTGTTGTACAATGAGGAGTGAAAGAAGATGTATCAGATAGGAATTTTTGCTGATCTTGGGCCCTATTCACCTTGTGACCTAGCATAAAGTTATGCTAATTTTAACATCTTTTTTTTAATATTTTTATTTTTTTGGAGACAGAGTCTTGCTCTGTCACCCAGGCTGCAGGGCAGTGACATGATCATGGCTCATGCAGCCTTGAACTTCTGGGCTCAAGTGATCCTTTTGCCTCAGCCTACCAAAGTGCGGGGATTACAGGCATGAATCACCTTGCCCAGCTCTTCAAACATCTTCTAAAACATTGCAGAGAACCTGGGATGGTTATGCTATATTCAGTCAGTCACACCTTAATGTAAATTATATAGTCTAAGTAAATTTTTCCATGTTTTTAATATTTTGTTTGTACTCAAACTGTCTCTTTTCAAAAAGGCTGTTTTGATTTCTTTGACACCTTCCTGAGCCTCAGGTGTGTTCAGGGAATATTTGTCCTTTGTTTTCCAGAAAATAATTGTTATAATTTTCCGGTATCAAAATAATAAATTCATATTACAGAAACTCAGAAGATACAAAAAATCATGAAGAAGAAGAAGAAAATAAAGATTATTATTAATTGTACCCACCATGTATAATTAATTGTCTATTAACATTTTGGTGTGATCTAGTGTGAGACTTTTTTTCCTTATGCTTATATACATAGTCCCCCTCTCCCATCCAAGTTAGATCATTTTATGTGTAATGTTTTATAACATCCTCTTTTTCACATAATATATGTGAGCATCTTTTCATTTCAGTTAAACATATATGAGTCATTATGTTTGGTTATTGTATAGAATCTCATTGTATGTATATGTAATTACTCTTTTTCTAAAACAATTTACAGTTGTCTCTCATTTTTGCCTGATATATAATTAACACATAATTAAGAATTAGTATATAATTCTTTCAGCATTCTTATGTATCACTACTTGTAAGTCCTTAGAGCAGGTTCTCTTTTGTACTCCTAGTGCCTGGCACATAATAGACACTCAAATGTTTGTTGAATAAATGAAAAGAAAGAATTGCTGATGAGTATACTAGTTCAGTGTTTCCTGGAAGTAGGATTGCTGGATTAAAGGGAATGCATACTTAATAATTTCATACATACTGCTAACTTGGCCTTCAAAATGGTTGTGCCAATTTATGATCTCACTGTAGTCATTGTGGTATCTGTTTTCCCACATCTGCTAATACCAGATATTTTCATTTGGACATAAAATGATGACAAGGTGAAAATGGAATGTAATTATAATTTGCATTTAAAAAATACTAGTGATGTGAAACTAGTATGACTTCTGAGTTGTCCAGTTTCCATGTGAATGATTATTTTTTTGCTTTTCTATTGGAATACTTAACTTTTCTAAAAGATATCCTACTTTTATTGGATATGAAAGTTTTGTTATTGAAATGTGTCAAGCATTAGGTTGAGTGAACAAGAAAGACACCATCCCTGGTCTCATTGAATTTTTTTTTCTCTAGTGAGCAGTGTGGATTAGCAAATTGGAAACCATTCTGTATGAAAAATGCTATGATGGAATCTTATGAAATATAAGATTATATGGGTTGACATACACAAAGTTCTGGAGAAGCTTCCAGGAGTAGCTGAGAGCTGTAGGAAGAGTTGGCCAGGAAATAGAGTAGAAGAATTTCAGGGTAGACGAACAAACTTGTTAAAGGATATTGAGGTGAGAGAGAGCAAGTGATTGATTATTTCTCCTAGAACTTCTAGTCACACAAAATTTATTGAACTTAGGATCTGAAGTTAGTGGTGATAAGTGGCGTAACTAAAGAGGCTACTGTCTTCTTTGAAGGGTCTTCTAAACTGTTCACAAAATATGGATTTGGTCCTGATTGGTTTGCAAAGCTATGAAGGGGTTTTAAGCAAGAGACTGACTAGATCAGTTTTGTGGTGCTTCAGTTTATAAATTGATTAGTTCTCTCTGTGACTCTCTCTGTCTCTCTCTCTCTCTCTGTGTGTGTGTGTGTGTGTGTGTGTGTGTTTACGTATATATGTATTGAGTGGTCAGGGGAGGTTGATGTTAGGTTTTAAGATCATAGCTTTTAAGAAGACCAGTTAGGAGTTTCTTGTATTCCAAGCTGAAAATGTTGGTACTCCGGGCTAGGCTTGTAACAGTGTTGATGGACAGACTTAAATGACTTTTAAGAATAGATCAGTAGCAGTGATGGAGCTTATGATGGGATGGGGATGTTCAGGCTGGGTGGGTGGTTGTGTGATTTGTGGAGATTGATCATCCAGGAGTAAGTTTTGAGGAGAAGATGATGGTTTTGTGTTGAGATGACGGTGGGACATCAAGTCACTGCCCCAAAATAGTCAGTTTTAATATGGGTTTGTCACTCAGAAGTTTGTTTAGTCATAGATATAGGATGGTTAGCATAGAAACACCACAGAGAAGCCCCAATGAATTGCATTGTAGGAGCTAGCTTGAAGCCTAGTACTTAGAGGGCCCAGGAGATGCAATACCTATTCAGATACTGCTGAGGCCAGCCCTGTCAAAGAAATGTTTAGTAATCTCTGCTTCTAGCACTGAGATTCTGGCTAGTATATTTTGAAATTATTTTTGTCTTCTTCATTGGAACCCTATCTTGTTACTTTTTTCTGCCTTCAAATGACCAACTTCCTAATAGCCTTTTGAGTTATATCCTTTTCATGAGTTTGAGATGCTTTTATATTTGGTTTTAAACCATTTCAAATCTATAGAAAAAAAGGTTGATATAGATAAACTACAGTATTTCTTACATTCTTTATTATTCTATTATTTTAGAAATCACTCTGGCCTCAAAATGCAGTTCATTGTCACGGCTCTTAAAATAGAAAGATCTAAAATACTGAAAACATGCTGGAGAAAGGATGTTGCTAGTTACTAGAGGAAACAGTTTTCTGAATTTTACCTATATGATTATTAAACAGAATTTGCTGAAATACAGTATCTGTTTCAGGTTGGATATGGCACATTTACATGACTTTTCAAATAAGATATTATTATTTATATATATGCTCACTTAAATGATCTTTTATTGAACTGTATGAACATAGGGTATAACCAAATTAGTAATCATTATAAATGTATAGACTTTTATTTTTCTGAGAGTTTATTCCTCATCACGTTTTTGCGTTACATAGGCTGAAGAAAATCTTGGTATGGTGATGATTTTTACTCTAGTGACAGCTGTGCAAGAAAAATTGAATGAAATAGTAGATCAGATAAAAACTAGAAGAGAAGAAGAAAAGAAACAAAAAGAAAAAGAAGCAGAAGAAGCTGAAAAGGTATATTTAAAAGCCTTGTTTTCTTTTATTATTTCTTAAATCGGTTTTTGGTTGCTTGGTTGGGTTTTGAGGGTTTTTTTGATCAATAGCAGCATTTTTTTTTTTTTTTGGAAATCACAAAAATAAATAAAAGTAAATTTTAGTAAAGTTTTACTAAGAGTAAAATTGTAGAAGTCCTTCATTTGGTTGGTGGCATAGCGTGAGTAATGAATGATAATCAGTAAAAGTTAGTAAAACTCATGCAGATAAGACCAAGAAGTATAAAGATTTCACCTATGATATAGAGCCAGTGGTGTCCAATATTTTGGCTTCCCGGAGCCACATTGGAAGAAGCATTGTCTTGGGCCATTCATAAAATACACTAACAATAGCTGATGAGCTAAAAAAAAAAAAAATTGCAGAAAAAAACATGTTTTAAGACAGTTTACGAATTTGTGTTGTGCCACATTCAAAGCTGTCCTGGGCTGCATGTGGCTCTCTGGCTATGGGTTGGACAAGCTTGGTATAGAGTTTAGAATTATAAATCCCCTATACTACAGTGAATTAAATAGTTACTAAATGTAAAGAAACCCTCATATTTTGAAATAAAGTGACAAAGCAATGATTTAGTATTAGAAATTGATGTGTATTCAAAACATGTCATTATTGACAGTGTAATAGTTCGTTTTCATGCTGCTGATAAAGACATACCCAAAACTGGGAACAAAAAGAAGTTTAATTGGACTTACAGTTCCACATGGCTGGGGAGGCCTCAGAATCATGGTGGGAGGTGAAAGGCACTTCTTACATGGCGGTGGCAAGAGAAAAATGAGGAAGAAACAAAAGCAGAAACCCCTGATAAACCCATCAGATCTCATGAGATTTATTCACTATCATGAGAATAGCACAGGAAAGACAGGCCCCCATGATTCAGTTACCTCCCCCTGGGTCCCTCGTACAACACATGGAAATTCTGGGAGATAAATTCAAGTTGAGATTTGGGTGGGGACACAGCCAAACCATATCAGACAGCAACAACTTTTCTTCTTAACAATGAATAGCTATGGTGGTAAATACAGTGAATACATTGCATATTATCTTTGTTTTTTGTAATAAGTAAAAAAAAAAAGGACTACTCCAAAGTATGTTGCCAAAACCAGTGAGAGTAGCCAGTGCAGGCAGAAATCAGTTTAAATATTTCAAAAATTCAAACATTAATTTTTCTGTTTTTCTTATAAGGGGTTATGTTTATTTATTTAGAAGATACTATTAGGATTTATTTGTTAAACTGCTGTTTCATTAATCTGGTGACTTTTTTTTTTTTTAATTTTCTAAGCAATTATTCCATGGTACTCCAGTTACAATTGAGAATTTCTTAAATTGGAAGGCCAAGTTTGATGCAGAACTCTTGGAAATTAAAAAGAAAAGGATGAAAGAAGAAGAACAAGCAGGAAAAAATAAATTAAGTGGTATGATTCCCCTGCCATTCCTGTTCTTCCTAAACCCTCCTGTATCATTTTTTACATAGCAAGAGGATCATTTGGTCAGATTTCTGTAAGAAAATAATATACATAGGCATCTAGGACAAAAAGAGAAAACATATCTACCAGATGATATTTCTCTACTCATAATTTGTAATTAATTTGTATGGCTTATCTTTGATATAAGTGTTATAATTGCTAGATCCTATGATAGAAGGACATTCAGGATCATGTCTTAGAAGTAGTAGAGTCAAACCCATTTGTTTTTCTAGTACCCTGAGGCAGACTGAGTTTTCACTTGTTCCATTTTAATGCAGATACGTTTCATATGCCACTCAGCTACTGAATACATTCGGAAATTTATTGAAATTCACAGAAAAAAGAGGTTTTCAAACTTGCTTTCTAAGTGTCGTAGTGAAAATGGAGAAAAACTATGCCATTTGAATTAAACATACTTTTTTTTTTTAAGGGAAACAACTATTTGAAACGGATCATAATCTTGACACATCTGATATCCAGTTCTTGGAGGATGGTAAGATAATATTAGAATTCCACATGTAGGATGGGCACAGTAGCTCAAACCTGTAATCCCAGCATTTTGGAGAGCCAAGGCAGGAGGATTGCTTGAGCCCAGGAGTTTGAGATCAGACTGGGCAACATAGTGAAACCCTGACTCTATTAAAATAATAATAATAATAATAATTCCACATATATATAATGTAGTCTCTTTAATTTTGAACCATGAAAATCAAACTGAACTTTATTTATTGTACATTTTTTCCTCCCAAGGCTGTTAAAAAATACATTTTGGAGAATAAATTCTAGTGGTTGACCAATTTATACATTTGAAATGAATGTTGTAATTCTATAGCAACATTATTTTAAATTTTTTGATAACTTAAGCAATATCAAAGATAGAAATAGATAAACAATGATGATCACACTATCCTCACAACTAGTAAACCAGGTTATTGTGACTCAGGTGACCTGTTTTCTTCAAATTTCTAGTATCACAGATCTGTGAAAACTATCCATGGTCTGTCATGGAGCTTGTAAAAACCTGATGTTTAACGTCTAGCATTCCCTCTCACCAGCCTTTCATATGACTCTTAATGTATTTGGAGCATCTAGTCCCTTGTGCTTTTCTCCTGCCACCTATCCTCTTCTCTTCCATCTATCCATCATCCATTCATTCAGAAATATTTATTGCACTGTCCTGGCCACCGAGGATGCAGCAGAGTACAGTATGGGCCAGTTCTCTCCCCTTGGGAGCTTATGGCCTACATGTGTTTTCTTAAACTGGGCTCCATACTCAGTCACACCTCTGATAGCACTCTAGAGTTCTGTACTTCATTAACCTTTTGTTGTGTCTGTCTTGCCAGCTGGGAATCCTTTAGCTTCTGGCCTTTCAGCCTTGTTCTGAATTACCTGCTGAAGAAGGTTAAGAGGCAGTATTGATACAGCTTACTGCTAAATGCTTTCTAATCTAAGCTAGGCCTTTACTGACAGGCAACATTTTAAAGTTGTTGATACCTTTTCCTTTTCTGATTTAAATGTTTTGTCATTTTTACCTGGATTTTTGTGGTAGCTTCTTAAATTATTTCCCTAAATCTCTTCCTCCTTCTAGTGCCATTATCTATTCTACAGTCACTCCCTGTGAGATGGTATTTCTAAAACCCACATTTAATCATAAAATTTCTCTCCTTAAAATCCTTTGATGGTTTCCACTGCTTATAGGGAGAGAATGACCTACACAGTCTTTCTCAGTCTGGCCTTCATCTATGTTACTTTCAGGTGTTTTTTCTCAGGAATTTCATCTTCCAGTTAGAATTATTCAAGGTCTTATATTTTCTCTCTCCCTTTGCATATACTTCTACCTAAAATTGCTTCCTCCTGGCTCCTTTTCTTCTTGGTGCATTCAAATTTATCATGAAGATATTTCAGACTTCATTTACTCCATGATGCCTTTGCTATGTCTCCTAGACAGAGCCGGTTATTCTTTGGCCAGGACTTAACTGTATTATCTACTTCAGACACACTGAAGAGTGAAGATGTTTAATGCAGAGCCTGGGTATTGTTTCCTATAGGCTTTAGACATTGTAACTGAAGGCATACCATTGGTTAAAAGGGGAACTGGGTGAGAATGAAGATCAAATCAAATCAATTAATTAACAAGTATGGCTGAGCTTTAACAATGCTTATCTGCCACTACTGGAAGACGTAACTCCTCATACAGGTCCCATGGTCAGTGATAATTTTCTATAACCATGAGAACATATCATCCTTGTCTTCAACTTATAACATGCTACATTATAAATTCTAGTAAGCTCTTTTTAATAACTGGATTTTTAGATTATGAACTGGAAACATGAAGTTGCTCTTAAAATTTCAGAGTCTCTACTGACCAATACAAATCACTTTTGGTATGATATGTAGTAATTATAGTTTGGGATTTCATCACTCCTACCTCACATGCATATTTAGAGATTTCGGTTTGGTAGTGCCAATGAGTTGTATCTTTTATTTCTGAGTATAAGACTAAAGGTGATTTTTTTTTTTCCAGCTGGAAACAACGTGGAGGTAGATGAGTCTTTGTTCCAAGAAATGGATGACTTGGAGCTGGAGGATGATGAAGATGATCCAGACTATAATCCTGCTGACCCAGAGAGTGACTCAGCTGACTAATGAACTGTCCCCATCTGCAGAGAGGCTTGACTGCCACAGCATCTGTGGCTATGCTCAGAGGGTTTTGTTTTCCTTTCTTTTTTTCTAAGAAAAAATTATTTTCAGGAGAATATTCTTCTGATAGCTTTCATCATTGAACTTAATAAACTGACCTTAAAATTTCAAATATAAAATGTTCAAGGCTTCTTACTGGTGAGCACAAGGTTACGTATTTAAAATCACCTAATATTGAGAGAGAACCTGCCTATAACACCAAGACTTGAAGGTAGGCTGGTGCTGTGCACATGAGCGAGTTTATACACAGGAAACTGGAGTAACTTGGAATTTCTGTGCTGGAGACTGTGGCTACTTCTGGTTTTCAAGCATTGTCTTTTATATGAAGTGTGAGAAAACTGAGGTGACTAGCACATTAAACCATCTAGATTCTAGCCTCCAGGCACACTAAATTTAAGTCTTCACAAAACCAGGAGGCCCATATTATGATCAGGAATAAAATGAAGTTTAGCCTTCGTTTTGGTCCATTTTGTATTGCCATAAAGGAATATCTGAGGCTGGGTAATTTATAAAGAAAAGGATTTATTTGGCTCACAATTCTGGATGGCCAGGAAGTTCAAGATTGGGTATCTGCACCTGGTGAGAGCCTCAGGCTGCTTCCACTCATGGTAGAAGGGGAAGGGGCACTATGTGTGTAGAGATCACATGGCCAGAGAGTGAGGGTGGAAGTGCCAGGGTTTTTTGTTTTTTGGTTTTTTTTACAAGTAGCTTTGGTGGGAACTAGTAAAGTGAGAACTCCCTTACCTCTGCTCCCCACAGGAAGGCATTAGTCTATTTATGAGGGTTCTACCTGCCATAACCCAAACACCCCACTAGCCCGCATCTCCCAACACCACCACACTGGGGATTAAATTTCAATGTGGGATTTGGAGAGGACAAATATCTAAACCATAGCAGTCTTAGAGTATTTAAATTAGAATCATTTGTGGAGTTTCTAAAAGGTATGCATTCCTAGGCCCCTCTCAGGTTAGATTTACGAACACTGATCCCCAATCTGAATTTTAAAACAGCAAAATCTCATACTAGTTCTACAGATGATTCTGATACACAATCTGGATTAAGAACCACTGTCCTGTAGTTGTGAAGTCTATATATTTTGGTATTTTCTTTACCTTTTCTCTAATTAACCAGTCTGAAGGAGTTTGAATTTTGGTGGTCGTACATCGTCTGCAAGAGAAACACATTAACATCTATGCACATAGAGTTCTTTGTAGTAATTTCGGATGATTGACTTGGTGGCTCCAGGTAGGAAAGCCAGGCTTCGTGCAAGTTATTCAGTCACTACAGTTTTGGAGGACTCTTAACCCCAACAGGAAATCACTTGTGCTATTTTAAATTTATAAAGCTATTATAAAGAGCTGCCTCCAGTAAAAAATACATATGCCACATACCCACAGACAGCAATATTAATCATTTGTTATTGGAGTTAGACCTTATAATCAAAAAGCAAATGATTTAAGATAAAATTACCATTGAGGAGTTTAATACTTTTCAAGGAATCTTCACGTCAACCTTGATCCCAGACCAATAGAATGGAATAACAACAGGAATGTTCAGCATTTCAATGCAGGGAGAAATCCAAAAGTTTGTCCTATGTAAGATTTTGCTTTTCCCATATTTTTGAAGCTGATCAGCAGATACATAAGAACCTGGAAGAAGCTGCTCAATTAAGGTTTAAAAAAAAAAAAAAAAAAAAAAAAAGCAATTGTTAGCAATGTGGTGCTGAAATCAAGACTTAACTTTGAAGTGTCAAGAATGATACCCCACGCCCCATCCCCTTCATGTGATTTTTAAGAATTAGCTTTATATATTTCTCCAGGTATTAAAGTGGATGTCTACCTTTGCCATTTCAGAACCTAAAGGCAGAATCTAATGGTAAAATGAAGACAACCTTGTTAGTTCTAATAACTCAGATATTTTCATCTAGAGTAAATATTTACCATTGGCTTTGTATTCTGGGAATTAGCCCAAGACTATGCTGCTCAAATGGGTGCAAATATACTCTCAGGTTGCAATAGCATGACTAGTAGTATTTGAAGCAATAATTGTTCCATCTTGGATTATCAGTTTTGCTCTTTGCTTTGGCAAAGTTTTTGTTTTTCTATTTGTGCCAGTTGTATTAAAATATTACTAGGTTAAAAACAAACACAAATATATTTATTCACTACTGTATCCCTGTAATAATGCCTGGCATGCAGTAGGCCCCTAATATTTGTTGAATGAATGAATTATAGAATAGAGTACAAAATTAATTCTAATGTATTTTAAAGTAAAGCATGAGAGTTCAAAGAAATGTTCTATTTGCCATCTACAACTTGGAATAATGTTCCTAGATCCTGCTTCCTGCACTTTTGCCAGCAGAGGTGGATGCCTTGGGGGAAAAGTTGGATAAATGCTGATCTAAGGCAACACATCTAAATGGTTATGTGAACATTTCCCAGTTGAGGTAAAACTAAGAGGAATGATAATAACATCTCATCAATTTAAAGGATGAGTTCACTGATTGTACTGTCATACTCCAGAGATACATGTGCCAAGAAGCAAAGAGATACACTCTTGTATTCCAGAAAAACGATGATTTGTAAGTGTTCAATATTTGTGTGGCAGCCCTTTTAGGTGTAATGATGTGTAACAGAAAAGTAAATGAACTACTTGAAATAGCTCTCAATGTTTGTCTTTCAGAGGACATATGAGTCAGGCAGCAAAAGTTGGAGCCATTGTATGATTGTGTGTCAAAATGAGAGTCACACACTTCAAGACCTGTAGGGACTAATTTTAGAAAAAGACTCTTCAGAACAGATGACACATGAAATGTGAGTTTATGTAAACATGTAGATTTGAGTAGCATTAGTTTGTTTTCTGTTTAGGAACTGTATCAAGGTGACAAAGATGAAAGAATGCTGCCAGAAAGGTATATCATTAAATTTTCAGGGTTCCATTGGTGAAGTTTCAAGTAACCTTTCACTTAAGTTACTTGTGTCAGAGGATGGATGATGGGGTCATTTAAATTGTTGGACAAAGTCATGAAAGGATTTTAAAATTTTGTCATAAAAATAATGATGTTTTTAATTTTACGTCTAAAACGAATTTGCATTATCCTGTGTTAGTGACTGAATCTCAACTCAGTTCTCATTTTTTAGTTCAACTTTTAACAACCTTATTTTCATTGACACCATGGACAGCACAGTAAAAAAAAATACACAAATTTCCTTTTCTGTTATTGATTTGGAATGATCACTTTAAAAGAGCCATCAAATACACCTACATGTTGAGCCACTCTTTATCATTAAGGTGAAAAGTTCATTTCAGTTAAGGTATTTGAGTGCTATTATGTGCCAGCCTTTCTTTGCGTTAATGTTTTTTTTTCCTCCCCTCCATGAAGGGAAGAAAAAAAATTAATTCAGCCATGAGTTTTAATATTCTGGTGAGCACCTTATCCATTTGTAGCCACGCCAACAAATTTATTCTGTGATAGACCAAACTTACAAAGTCACTGCAATTTCAGCAAGCCCCATTCCCAACATGAGTGCTGTCCACGGTCCTGAACCATCAATGCTAAATAGTATTTAGTTGTTGATCTTCATCCTGTCATGCAGTTACATATTCCAGGAATACTGAACCAAGTGAGGACAAAGATAGCAGTGGGTTGCTGCAAAGGAGGTGAGGGGAGGGGAGAGAGAGCAAGTGAGAAAAAGAGAGACTAGTGGTGATGTTTTTAAATAATTGAAGTAAAAAAGAGAGAGAAGAGGTTCTACCCAGTCCACCAAAGCTTTTTAATTTCCTTACATAATTAACATGATGAATTTTTAAATAATTGTTATATTTAGTTTTGTTTTTCCACCTTTTTGCCATTTCTACTACATATTTACTTATTTTAAAAAGTACTTGCTAGACCTTCCTCTTACAGCTACTACCTATCTCTACCTTTGCAGCTGTTCTCCTTTACAGAATAATCTCTATTAGTTTTCTTGACTTCTTCATCTCCCTACACAAAGATGAAGGATATTTAGCTCTGAAAATCCTTCACTGTTGAATATTTAGATTGTTTTCAATTTTTACATAATGAACAATGCATCACGAGATTATTGGCTGCAAATAAATAGGAAACATAAAACATAAAAGAAGTTTTAAGTTTAAATTTAAAAAAAAAAAAGGTAAACACAAAATATTTGCCAAAGATAAAGGGTTGCAAAGCTACCTTACGATGCGCTCTTATACCAATACTAAAATAAAACTTACAACAACAAAATTAGTGATTAGGAAATTACAGTTTTGATGAACTTGGCATTTCAATCAAAGTCATATTTGCCACCATTCTCTCAGTAGCTTTAGGCCAATTTCCAAATTGCTTTCAACAAATTAGTTTTATTTGTTTATGTTATATATGTATAATTTAAATTATATTTATAATTTTTTCAGTCAGATTTCCTGGAGAACAATAGTTGTTAGGTGCCTACCAGAAAATAAGACTAGAAAGTCATGTTGGAGCCATATTGTGGAAGGCTAAGGAAGTGGGATGGGAGCAAAGGTCATGTCAATTATATACTAAGCTTATATTCTATGCAAACTAATCCCTTCCTACCACATATATTATTGAAAAATTATTTGCTTGCTATTTATCAATGTCTTTTATAAATTAAAATTTTTCTTATTACAACTATATCTTAAAAACACCAATAAAATTGCCAGATCATTAATATTCCTGCTTTTATTATTATAAGATAATGTACCAGTTCTTCAAATATACCTTTGAGTAGAAGGATGGACCTGAAAATTGATTTGGGTTTATTTAAGAGAAAAAGAAACCTTTCAACAATCCTAAATCTCAGATTTTTAATAGCATTCTTCTTGTTTATGGCCAGTTTCCTATTTATTTCCTATTATTGTTTGACAGTGCCCATTTATATTGGAAAATCAAAATGGAAAAGTACATTAGAAAACATAAGTCCTTCAACTTAAAGATGTACGATATTGGTATCTGGTTGAGTAAGTTTCTAGTCAGAGGTTTTTCTAGTCATTTCTGTTCAAAAGTGGGATCCACCAGAATGTACACGTGATGATGGACCTTGTCTGTCTGCTCCCCAGTTTATTGTTACTCTGAGAATAATGCCTAGCAGAGGGCAGGCACTCTGTAAATACTTGTTGAGTGTATACATGAATAAGTCCTTTTGTACTACTGTTTTGTAACATTGTAATTTTTATTTTATTTTTTTGAGATAGGGTCTCACTTGTCACCCAGGCTAGAATGCAGTGGCGTGATCTCAGCTCACTGCAGCCTTGACCTCCTGTGCTCAAGCCATCCTCCCACCTTAGCTGCCAAATTAACTGGGACTACAGGCATGTGCTACCACACCTGGCTTACTATTATTATTATTTGTATTTTTTGTAGAGATAGGGTTTCACCATGTTGCTCAGTGTGGTCTTGAACTCCTGGGCTCAAGCAATCCGCATGCCTCGGCCTCCCAAAGTGCTAGGGATTACAGGCATAAGCCACAACATCTGGCCCCTGTAATTTTTAAAATACATAATTTGTTAGATATATAGATTGGGATAAACGAAAATGTGACAAAAGGAGCGTCCCTCTGCCAATTTAGAAATATGGATAAAAATACTTAAGATACACGAAGCTTTGGGTAATTGCCATACACACACTCTACCCCCAGTATACCAGTATTTTACAAATTTTAAAACCAGTAACAAATATTTGTTTACAATACCATTCTGCCTAAAATTTATCTATTAGCCAAATTGCTTTATGCATTTGGTCAAATTGCATTTAGTCAAATTGTTTTCAGCCAAACCTTATGCGCACATGCTAGCCAGTGGGATGATAAAAGACAAGAGATGTATTCTGTCTGCTTAAGGTATTCTCACATTTCTGTGCACATAAATACAGTATTGAATGAAGACTTACAGGGTGCTCCAGGGTCAGAAAGGAGGGACATCTAAGTTAACCTGGGATTGGGATGGCCCAAGGAGTCTTCTCAAAAGAAGTGCTTGAAATGACCAGTTGGAGGGCAGGAGCTGTGTTATATTTGGCTTTATATTTATAGCTTTGTAGAGAGTCTATACTAAACAATTATTGGATGAAATAATCATTGAAATCTGAAATAATTATTCATGTAGTAATTTATTGGATGACTAAATGAAATCAAGTTGAAGATGCATGGGAACATGTTTAAACTGTTGTATCTTGGAATTTAAGCTGGATGAAAAAATAAGTCAAAGGAAGCATTTATGTGGGGAGAAATGGAAGCTACATATCTCTTTTTTAAAATCAAAGATTATTCCTAATGGGAAATAAGGAAAAGAGAGAAAATTTGAATCCTGGGAGATTGAGATTGGAAAGAAGCATAAGAGACTTAGGTTTCTGAGAAGTTCTTTCAGATAATGACAAGTTCAAGAGTGGTTCTTTGAGGTAGGAGATGGGTGAAGTGGGGCAAAAATAATAGTTATTTAATGATATTAATAAGTTATGAGGTTAGAATGTTAAGGATAGGTTATACAGAGGACACTAAAACTGCCAAAGATATGGTAACTCAGATATGTTAGTTGGTCTTAACTCAAAAGGTAAAAAGACAGTCATAGTCTTATATTCCTGTAATTTGCACCAGATTTAAAAGATGGAATACTGAGTTCAAAGACTCAGAAATGGTTTATTTTGATTAGATGCTTCCCAAATGGCATTAATATTTAAAGAGAAAAAAAGAAAAAGAAAAGAAAAAAAATCCCAACAAAACTTAGATTTTTCAAGACATGAGACTATTGCGGCTAAAACTGTACAAAAAAAGAAAAAAAACTATTTTCTATACTTTTATTGGAAAGATGAATTCCATGTGCAGGTGGCAAGACGAATTGTGTGTGCAGGTGACCTGGCCCAGGTAGTGGTCTCAGTGTGAATGCTTACGCTAAATATGTCCTTAGAAATAAAAACTAGACTTCTTCTTAAATATACTGGATTAAAATGATCCTGAATTAATTCATCTAAACATTGAAATAACTTGCTTTTCTACTTCAAACACAATTTTGCTTAGGAGATCTTTTGATACTGAAGCAAAGAAGTGGCCTTGGGGCTCTTTCTAAGGGTAGAAATCTTGGATAAAAATGTGTGTGTGAGTGTGTGTGTGTGTGTGGCGGCGGCGGGGGGAGGGGCGCAGTCAGAATGTGGAATTCAAGCCACTGCATCTGCAGTTGGGAGGAAAGGAAGTGAGTTGGGTTGGGAATGCACCTAATCCCCTCCAGTATTAAAAGGTGGAAAAATGCCAGCGAAAGTTCAAGGTTTAAGATTATTACAAAGGTGGGGAGGGTTATTAAATCACATATTTAAATAACAGTGAAGTGCAGAGCCATATTGGAGCCTGAAGCAAAGGAAAAATTTGTGTTATTTAACATTTTGATGTTTATTTTGTACATCATAGATTTTACATTAATTTTGATTTTTATATATATTGCATTAAAATATTATTTCTTTTGATTAGTGAGTTTCAGTGCCTCCTTAAAGTTTGCACCTGAGACCAATGCCTCACTCACCTCACCATAGTCCTCAGCAGATCAAGGCAGCTTTCAGGTTCCGTGACCTCAATCTCCAAGACCATTAGGTAGAAAGGCCTGTAAATGAAACCACATGGGGTTTCAGGCAAGGGAGTCTTCATTGCTGAAATGATAGTGCTCAATGGATGAACAAAATGAAGCCATGTTATTGCTGGCCCCAAAGAGATAGTTAAACGAACTATCTGTATGATAAAAGGACCTGGAAATCACTGGGATGTGAGCTGTTGCTACAAGCCCAAGACACTGAAAAATAGGTTATTGATTTTGGTCACACGCAGTCCAAACATATCTAAATGTGGTAGAATCATGAAATTAAATCGAATTATACTCCATATATGGTGGTTTTGTTTATATGATGGAACTTAGGCTGTTTTGAAAATATAGATCTAGAACATGTTTCACCTATACTTTTGGGATAAAGTTTTTTGGAAACCTTCTTGATCACTCTTGATATTATTTGGGATATATTTTCTGATGTTTAAATTTTGTTTTTAAGATGTCAGATGGATTAATCTCTAAAGTTCCTTGTAAGAAACTAGGATCTGTTACTAAAGTTGTTTACAAGATAATTATTTTCCTTTTAAAAGGCAAAAGGTAATTATTGACCCTAAAGCCATGAAAATAATGTTAAAGGAGAGAGTTAGGCAAATCTTCAAAGGTATGCATTTAATGTGTTGTTCCTTTCCTTGCTACTATCAACTAATTTTATGGGATTCTATTTGAGATAGGAAGTATCTCTGTGCACGTGTACTTTTTATATAGGAGGGTTGGGGTTTTCTCTTTCTGACATTGACACTCAACTGATAATGAACCTCCACGCTTTTGAGCCAGCCCTAGGGAGCTTGAGCACAAGAGAAAAAAAGATAGTGAAGATTTAATATTTAAATCTTAATATTTTAGTTCATCACTGAAATTTGACACATTGCTTAGTATGAAGATATATGATACAGTTGGTCAGACTTGTGAAAAAATAGTGAGAATTGGAATAATAGGCTCTTTAACTGTGAGAGCTTGAAAAAAATTCTTGAACCCCTGATTTTCAATTTCCTCATCTGTAAAATTAGGATAATAATACTTCCTTAATATAAATAACTTAGAAAAATTGATCAACATGTTCCAAATTGGTCACTTACCAGGGAAGGAAGTGTTTCAAGAGACTCATCTATGAATCTCTTATCTTTCACATTTCACCTATTCCACTTACCCTACACAATTAATTTACAATGAAGAAGTATAATCCTTCATCTTCTTTTTGCCATTATTAAAAATATATACATATATATAAATATATAATTCAAGAAAAGAAAGAAAAGCTTATTTCGATGTGCAGACTATACCTCCCTCAGTTACAACTGCATAAATGCTGTCATGCATTCACATCTGTAGCAACAAAACGTTCTCAATTTAGAACAATTCTGAAGGGCATCCCAGCTCCTTAGCTTCCTATTCAAATACCTGTTGTCTCTGTTACAACTACAGTGTAGTTCAACTTTTGACTCTGCCCAATCGTGCTTCTTTCATTTCCTCACAGACTGTTCCTAAGAGTACTTCATCTTCATGTAGATTTTAGACTGCTTCCTGGGGGAGCCAAAACTAAAACGTCTTATAAAATGATTTAAATCACCAAGGTGACTCAGTGGCAGCAGAGCAGTAGATCAGAACTAGCTGAGGGCAGATTTTGGAAGGATGTCTTGAACTAGTGCCCTTGGCTAGTGCCCATAGACCCCAAGTCTTGCTAGAGAAAATGATTCTAGGTGGGCCTTGGAA